ACTGGCGGCACTGAGCACCCAGCGCTGCTCGGTCGGCCTGTTGAGCCTTCCCACCCGCTTCCATAAGGCCTTGCCTTTCCAACTTCAGCTACAGTGTTAGCTAAGTTTGGAAAGAAGACCAAAGAGACCCCGGGCCGTCCCCCCCCACCTCCCTCCCTTTTTTTCTTTTTCTTTTTGTCCATAGTCGTTGTCGGGGTCTTTTTGTCACAAAGCTGTTGTGGTTTTCGCGGTGGTCTCTTCAGTTCCTTGCACTCCTGTTAACAAGCACCTCAGCGAGAGAGGCAGCAGCAGCCGCGGCAGCAGAAGAGCAAGCGGAGGCGCCTGGTGTCATGACCAGGGCAGGAGAGCACAACCGTCAGGGAGGATGCTGCGGTGAGTTGCCCGAATACATGTGGTAGAAACCCACGCTGGGCTGTGGAGACCAGCAGCTCCACCCAGGTTTTGGAGTAATGTGGCTCAGCTGTTAACCAGAGTGCTTTGTAGCTCTTTTGACTCATATTTTGGTGGGGGTTGAGGAAGAAAGGAGTTTCGAGATATGGGGAAGGAGCCCAGCGCTCAGGGAAGGATGGAGTAGACTAGACACTTTGGCTTGCCTTGTTGAAAATAAAATGGAGTTGAAGAATGTTGAAACAGGAGCTTTATTCACTGTATGGGAAGTTCTGCAGGTACTGACCAATAGGTCATGCTGAATTTTTAATCAGCCCATCAATTTCCAAGTGACTTGATAAAATGTACATAGTTTGCTCCGCGCGTAGTTTTAATAATTATGTTTAATAAGAACAAATGAATAAGCATTCCAATCTTGGCTTACTCAAGTGACTAAATATGCTTTGTATCTTTCCCACTGTGTGTTTTTGCAGGATCCTTAGCAAACTACCTGACCTCTGCAAAATTCCTCCTCTACCTTGGTCATTCTCTATCTACTTGGGTAAGAGAGAATCTACAGTAATTCTTACAACATACTTGCACAATTTCTTGTTTCCTTTCATTTGGGCCAGTTGTATTAAGCCATCTTACAGCTTTGTCATGCAGAAAAAAAAAAACCCACACAGAAAAAAAAAAACAACCAAACACACATGCTTGAACAGAAAAGTTATTTTCATCAAAGATAGTTTCCCATAGGTGTTAGTAAATGTTATTTAATTATCGAGTTATCATACTTTATGCAGCCTGACAACTTTCCAAAGATAGGATTAGCAAGGACAGGAATATTTGCATTGTTTGTATTTTGCATTACAAAGCTTAGTAAATGATAATATCTGCTACTAAGAAGGGATAGATGTCTCATGGATCTTCTATTCTTTCACATTTTAACATATTTCTCTGTTTTCTTCTTTTGTTAAAGTGTTAAGTTCCAGCATACTGCATTATGAAGATACAGTAGAATAGTAGCGTGACTGACTTAGGCTGAAAATAGCATTCTAAGATTAATTGAAATATAATTGACCCCAAGAACAAATATCTGAGTGATGGAAATTCTGGTCTTTAAAAATGTTATCTGCAGGTAGAGATGTGTGGGACATCTCAGTCTTTCTTAAAAACCATCATCCAATGAAAATCAGCAACTGATTCATATTTCTTCCTCTGACCTCTTATGTAGTCTTAGAAGAGTCCCAGTGACTACTAAGAGTTTCTGTGGGCCTGAGTTGCTTCATCAATACCCCTAGCCCAAAAGAATAATCCCCAAAGGATGCTGGCTGTGTATTTAATTAATGATGATTAGAATCTTTTAAATTAAACAATTGGTCTTATTGTTTAAAAGCAATAAATCTGAGTATGTTCTATTAGTGCCTCATTCATGATATTTAATTTAAAAGACCCATAAGTAAGGAGAAAGAATTTTGAGAGTAAGTTTTGTGAATGTTACATTCTTTTTAAATTGGCAACTTCTATTGGATGGTCCCTAAGACATTTGTATGAGGAAACTATTGTATGAGGAAACCTGTACATACGCTCTTGGGAAATTATTAAGCTAGGTTATCAGCTCTTTAAGAAACAGCAATTCAAAGATGGCTTTTTAGAAAGGCCAGCTTCTATCTCCCTAGAGGCTTAGACAGGAATGACTCTGCAAATACATGTAAACAAAATGGAATTGGCATGAGTTTCATTTTCCAATAGCTGATAATTCTAAGTAGAAAACAAGTGAAACTACCCTTAATTAATCTAAATCAGTAGTTCTTCCAATTTAATTCAGTAGGTATTAAGAATTAAAAAATAGATAAGTGATGGAGGTAGTATCTGGAATTCTCATCTTGTGGTCTGGACCCATCTCTTAGGGGAAAAAGGTGCCTAACTTCCAAATACTGATTAAGTTTAAGGCTTATGTGACCTTTCATTATTAGGTTGGGAGGTCAGGTTTGCCAAAAGAGTGGAACTGTGACTGCTGTAGGCGGATTTTTTTTTTTTATCATGAGAAAACAAGAAAAGTGATAGACACTTAACCAACTCTTACAGTAAATTAAACAAAGGGAGTTCTTGTGGGAAGCTTGGATTAAAACAAGACCAAACCAAACCAAACAAAAACCCCCAGCAAATTACAGCCATGTGAGGTTTAGTGGATTTTCACTTTATATTGCAAAGGTGTGCAAAAGAGGAATGCCATCTAACTCTGGATAACTCTGCCTTTTGAGATTTGTCTCCTATTTGACACTTTGCCTGATTTTATTACAACAAAATATGTGTGCTTATTTATTATATGTATATACATACGTATACTTATCTATTTGTCCATTCCTCTGCCCACTCTGCCAAATCATGATTTCCTATACACTGAGCATACAGGTGTTAGGGTAGACGGTTGCATCAGATTAGATTTGTGTGAGGTTGGATGTTTTTATTTCTGACTTCTTTTCTACCTGCCAGTGGATCAATAGGTTTTACTCTATACTATTGGAATACAAAATATGGTAAGAAGTGGATCCTGCCATCAAGTCACTTACAATATAATGTAGTATGGGCTTTAAAAATATATCTGATCACAAAAAGGTAACTAACAGTGTAAGGCAGTGAAAAGGGGTGGCCAGTGTGTATATCTTATGTCATCATGCTGTGGACTGTCTCCATTTCTATGCCCGAGGTCTGCATGGCACCAGCCCTGACTTCCTTAAGTCTCTGCTCATAGAAGTCTTTAGCTACTTTCATTTCATGGAAAATGCCACCTTCCTGCCCCACCCTACTTTATTTTTCCTCATAGCATTTATACCACCTGACCTGTTCTAGATTTGATTTTGGTCTCTACTCACTGGGGTGCAAGCTGTGTAAAGCATGAATGTTGAATTTTGCACACTGCTGGATTTCTGGTGCCTGCAGTAGCACCGGGTACACAAAGTGTTCAGTGCGTTAATGACTGTGATCATACAGTCAGACATTCAGTTGGCCTTCAGCGTTCAGTCCACCGAAGGCAGATGAACATGTAAACAGATCTTCAAAGGATGATGAGAGTTTGTGGGAAGGCAGGAAACGGATATAAGGAAGGAATGGGTGGCCTTGAGATTGCACCTGGTCAACATTTGCAGAGATCTCCCAGATTCTTAGACTTTTTAAGTGTAGAATCTTCTTTTTCTTAAAGCCTAAACCCTTTGGAAATTAGGGTAAGTGGAGCAGTTTTATTCCTCTCTGTCAAGGAAGTGGCATGCCACCTAGGGATAAGCAAGAAAAAAAACTTCCATTTAGGAGTGCTTGTTTCAGAGGCCTACCACAGAAGAACCTAAACCACATTCTTTTGGAAAAAATATAGGAGTGAAGAAAAACAACGAAAAAAAGAGACGATAGTAATAGAATAATATTTCATATTCTTTTTGTTAAGGAAGAGGAAATTCACTCATGGAGGCAACCTGTCATTTGAAGCATTTATGTGTTTTTGTCTTTTCAGAAGAATGGAGCTTAGGATAAAATACCTGTTCTCTCCACATCCCATTTTATTCTAATCAAATCTAAATTTTCTTCTCTTGTTAAAGATCAAGAAAATAGCTTAATTTATTCTTATTGACATTTTTATCTTACTATATAAACTTGTCTTTTTATTGGTTTCAGGCGAATTGTATGTGTATCATGCATTTTTAATCATTTAGTCCAAAGGCATTTAAAATGCAATTCCTACTTAAGTGAAAAAAATTCTGTTATCGAAGCAAACTTTTAAAAGCTGTGTCAGAAATATGGATTATGGTACTGATTCATCCTCAAACTTCTTGATCATCTGTGGAACAAATCTAACGTACCAGAACAATATAGTTGATAAATGAGCCTCGGTTTTTGCCACTTACTCTGTATTTACTCTTTCATAACTGGGATCCACTGCGCACTCTCTCCTTTGTTGGTTCCACGCTTGTTTGTTGTGTGTCTACTCTGGGCTGTGCGCTGTGCTGACGGCTGAGAGTTTAGAGTGTTCTTGAGCTCACATTCCAGATCATCAAGTGAGAATCAACCAGTCTTTCAAACATGGTGCTTCCACTGGCTTCCAGTGTTTGTTTTAATGTTTACTTGGTCATTTTTACCCCTTGGGGACAAGGCCTTAATCTTATGTTAATTTTGAATTGTGGTCCTAAATTATGTTCACATTCCTTCACACCAAGATTCTCTGCCTTGGCGCTATCAACGTCTTGGGGTGGATAATTCTTTGTCGTAGGGGTCAGTCCCTATGCATTGTTGATGCCAGTAGTAAACCCACCCCTACAGTTGTGACAACCCAAAATAGCCCAAGACATTGCTAAATGATCCCTGGAGGGTAAAGTCTCCCTCGTTTGAGAAATACTGGTCTGCATGTTGTTTATTGTAAATGATTGCTACTGACTAATTTCTGCTAATGATTATATTGTGTATTTATTGCTAATGATTAGTATGTGCATCAAGTTGCTTTGGATTCATAAGACTGCTGCTGTCTTGGCTTTATTAAATTTAAAAAATCTTTTGACATACCAGGATAATACTTTGCTCTGTATGCATTAAACTTGTCAGGAAGATGTTAAGAGACTTTGGGAAGAACTAGAACTGTAGTACTATTTCCACGTAGGGTCAGATCAGTAAGGAGCCTAGCCTGGGAGTTTAGTTTCCTTAGTGATTTCTTGTAGGGATGGGTAATAGTAAAACATTGTTATCCTGTTTTAGGTTTTCACCTCGTAAGTCAGGGATGGAGCCTAAAATCTCATAATAAGATCCATTATAGATTTCTTATGCATGAATTTACCTGACTCATTTAAAAGTTTCTGTTATACCACATTTTGCAATAGTGAATTCCAAAATTCCCTATACAGTTGAGTTTTTTTTTCCCCTTTCAAAACTCATCTGTTAAAATGTTAAAATAACTTCTTGCTTATGTATTTATTTCTGATATCTTTATATGATGCCAGAATATGCCCATATTAACTTCATTTTTTTGATTGGTCTGCTGTTTTCTGACTCAAATTTATTTGTGATAGATTAAAGAATGTTAGAGTTAAAAGAAACTTCAGAGATCATATAGTCCATTTTACAAATTGGGAAACTGGCTTTTTCTGGACATTCAAGGTCCAGTAATGTTTGTGAACTATGCTGTAGTTTCATTCTAGTTCGGGAGCAGACTACTTTATGCCTCTCAAATTAGGATAGGTAAATTCCAGGCCCAAGTAGAAACTTGACACAAAAGGAAACAGATTTTATCTCAAAAAAAAAAGAAGCCTTCTTGGGCTTGGAAGTTATATTTTTTTCATGAATGATAAGGAGTATGTTTGTTTCATTAGCATTATGCTTTTCTCAAGTTTACTTAGTAATTGGCAAGGATATTCTTCCATTATGCCAGGACAAACAGTTTTAATACCTGACCATATTCAATCCATAGAGGAATTACTGACTTTGAAAATCTTACGATGTAGCCAGAAAGTGCCCTTTTGGTCAGGACGCAACTTCTTGAGTGTAATTGACCAGAAACTAAAGATGTTTCATCAAAACCTTTTCCCTTCTCTTCTTATTCAAGGGGGATCGGATGTGGCACTTTGCAGTGTCTGTGTTTCTGGTAGAGCTCTATGGAAACAGCCTCCTCTTGACTGCAGTCTACGGGCTGGTGGTGGCAGGGTCTGTTCTGATCCTGGGAGCCATCATTGGCGACTGGGTGGATAAGAATGCCAGACTTAAAGGTGAGTAGTGTTATAACTAAGCCTCTGTGTTTGTGGAACCGGTGCCCGAGCTGGAGGGAAACCACTGTGACCATTCCATTGCGGTCTGCACACCACAGCTGAGTGATGGGGTGCTCGGTGGTAGCACCTCTGCATGGAGGGGCCTGGGTGGGGCTCCTGCACGAAGTTGGGATGCCAATATATTGAGTTTATAGATTTTTCTTTTGGTATCTTTGGCTGTTCATAAATTCCAAATGTTAATGATTAACACCATAGCACTTCCCTGGGAATCATGTTAAACATTAAACGTTCACTTAACTCTGGCATCCTTTTTAACTGTGACTTCCACTGGAGTCCATTTAATGAGATGTTCCTGGGACAGCTTTAACATCTGTCCTTGGGGTTACTGTGTTTCATATAAAGGAGTTTGTAGGGGGTTTGACAACTATGGATTCAAGAAGGACTATATGAGTGTGGATCACAGAGAGCTGAATTATAAATTTTTGAGGGAAGAAGAAGAAATGATAATTTATTGATATTTATTCTAGAGCATTAATACTGAAATCATTCAGTACTAGGTAGGAAAGAGAGAAAGTAAATGAACAGTTCAGTTATTCAGAATATAAGGGCACTTTGGATAATAATTCAGAGCAAAATTTCTCCAAGTTGCTCAGTTGATCATGTCGAGAACTGGCCATGTTTATCTAAGACATTGGGGAAAGACTGAGGTATTCATTGCAGGATGATTGCCTCTGGATAGAGAGCAACTGGACTGTCAAGTTCTGGGACTTGATGCTATTAAGTAAAATCGCCAAGATGGACATTCTTCTGCTTTGAGAATGGATAGACCAAAACACATGTAGAAAAAAAGTTTTGTGTCCTAGAAAAAAATTCCTAATTATTTACATTATTTTATGTAGGAACGTGGAAATGTTATACATACAGACCTTTAACCTGATGATTGTTGAGCACTGAAATTGTGGGCTAGGAAAGAACATTGAGTTGGGTGAAGAAGAGCATGGCAGGATAGCAATCTTGCACTTACCCCACACGACCAACTCATGTGTCAGCCTCCATGAAAATCTTCTTTGATGTCTCTAGGCTGAGTTAACCACTTTTTTTTCCTGCACTCCAATGAGGCTGTGTTAATACCTCTGCAGTGGCACTTTTGCTCTTACAATTATCTGTCCGCATGTCTGTCCTTCCTCTGGTCTGTGGAGTTCTGAAAGCTAAGAACCTCATTCAGTTGATATTAATCCTTGTGCAATGTATGAATGACTCATATGTTGGAATATTATTTCAAACTAATTTCAGAAGGCAATTTGTTTTGTCTTGAGGCTTTGTTCTAATGTTCCAAGCCAGAAGACAAGAGTGGTAATTATACCTTACATATAGAACCCTCCATATTTTTCAAAGGGCTTTCATAAGTATTTTATTTGAGCATCATAATGACTCCGTAAAGTAAGGGAGGCAGGGATGTATTATCATCCTCACATTATAGACACAGACATAAGAGATTAAGTATCCTGCCCTAGACTGTCCACCCTAGTGAGTGGCAGAGAGAAGCCTACAAGGTGTCCTTCCCTGGTGTAGTAACCTGTCCTCATGCCAGCACTTTATCTTCACGGGAGCCTCACTCTAAGAAGCTGGCATTTCCTTTGAGGTAAGGTATAGTTTAGAATTTCATAGCAAAGGCGAATAGCATTAGTATACCAAAAGGAACACACTGCCGCTTTATTCTTGGCAACTTTTTACATGTTTCTTCTATTTATCCACACCATCTTATCTTCTCAAATTCAGCCTGCCAAGTAGGAGGTTAAGGATTCCGTGACCTCTTCCTTCGCCTCCTCCGTAACCTCCTACATGTTCTTACTTTAGCTTAAGCAGCAAAGGGCTAAAAGGTGGGTCTTGTCCATGTAATGACAGTAAACTTTCAAGAGAATAAACTAAATGAAAATGTGGTCATTAAGAACGGCTTCAACTAACAGGAAAAATGGTGGCTGTTTCATTATTCTGACTGCAGGTTCCTCTGGTCTGGGGTGATGTGCTAGGTCCTGCTGGACATAACTGAGGCAGGATTTACTTCAGAAATGTTTTTATTTCTTGTAGTAATTTACACATGCATTAATATAGTAGAACATTGATGTGTGGATAAGAACAGCTCCATTGCGATGTTTTGGTGTCTGAACACCTTGTTTCTCCCTCTGTATAGTGGCCCAGACTTCACTGGTGATCCAGAATGTTTCGGTCATCCTGTGTGGAATCATCCTGATGATGGTTTTCTTACATAAAGAGGAGCTTCTGACCATGTACCATGGATGGGTTCTTGTAAGTTCTGAACAAAATTCTTAATGGCAGAAAAATTGAACATCTGGTAGTGGTAAAAGATGAAAACCTTTGAGGCTTCGGAGTGTCTTTTTGCAAATAGGACCTATTAATATTCATCTCTGTGTCTACTTTGATATCCCCTACCATTCTTATTTTGTTTGGGTTTGGAGTTTTTTTTGCCCCTAACAGGCATTCATCAAGTATTGTTTGAATTTTGTCCTAATTGTTTTTTTCCTATTTGTTTTTTTATGGAAGTTTTAAGAGTTTATTAAATAATTCAGTTGTTAGTTTTCAGCTCATTCGTATTAACCTGCAATTTGTTCACACCATGTAAGAAATGTTATCCATCTATATATTCATCAGTCATGATCGTGTTCCTCCAACAATAGGTATTTCTGTTTGAGATAACTTCTCACACTCTGACTTCATGATAGTTTGATGGAAAAGTGGACAGAGATGAGTGTAGCAGAAAACAATGGATTTGATGTCACTATTGAATCTTCCTATGTATATTTGGATTGATATTGTTGAGTTTCAAAGCCAGGTAGGACAAGAAATCTTCTAGTCTATTCCCTTTATTTTGCTGATGAAAAAAACTAAGACATAGTGATGTTAGCTGATTGCCTGTCGCCGTGCAACTGGAAAGTTCAGAACTCTGATTTAAATATGGGTCTTTTTACTTCCCCCTCAGTTCCCTTCTTTCCAAAGAAGATACTTGTGGTTGAGATTAAAAACCACCCCTATGTTAACACTTTATGATAACTATGTCACGTAAATGTGCATATGACTATTAAAATTTTTGTACTATGTGTACCATAGATGATACAGATTAGAAAGATATTGTGCCCTTTTATTTGACCCCTGGTATTTAGTGTCTCATGTCTAAAAGTAAAATGATATCTTAAGATTTTATGAAATGAAATTAAAATGAAAATTTTATTTTTATGCCACCAAAGACCATTTTAAACTATATTGTGCAGTGGAGTATGTACAGTGTGGTAAAACTGACATCTTAATCAGTTTTTCCCTGTAATCCCTTAGACATCCTGCTATATCTTGATCATCACTATTGCAAATATTGCAAATTTGGCCAGTACTGCTACTGCAATCACAATCCAAAGGGATTGGATTGTTGTTGTTGCAGGAGGAGACAGAAGCAAATTAGCAGGTAATTTGGTTTTCTCTTTCAACTAAATGGGTTATACTAGGAATCACTTTAAATCAGTGGTAATAAATGAGGCTTAAGCCTTTTTTCTGGGTGCTTTTTAGGAATGATAATTTGAAAGCGTAGTTGTCTTCTTACCACATTATTAATCTCAATTCAAAGATCTATCTCACTTTTATGAAGGTGGTATAGAATAGTGAGTGGACCTTTTTTATTCTATGCAAACCTGGCAAATAGAACATTTCTTTTGAGTTCTTTCTTTTAGTTCTGTTAACTATTTCAAATTGTTTACTTAATACTTAGAATGGTGAAAATCTGACATGGGATTTTATCAGTCATACTGTTACTACCATTATTTACTGGTCATACTATGGATATTATTTTTATCCAAATCAAATGGAAATAATTAAATTCTAGGAGAGACTCTAGAAGTTAATTCCTTCAACTTTAAAGTCATAATTGATGACTTTTATTGCATTATGTATGATGCAATATAATTGGTGTTATGACTACTAAAGAAATAGAGGGCAGAACATAGGTTTTTAAGAAGCTTACATCTTAGTTGTCCTTTGGAAACATACACAAGAGGGTAAACAAAGGCTGAAGAATGCTTACAAAGCAACATGTCCTATTACATCAATATTACTTGGGCTCAGAATAACCTCCCTCCCTCGATATTCCCTACCTGCCCACCCCCATACAGCACCCAGACACAAATTGGATTGAAATTACACAGGGTAAAGGATGAAGGGTCCACCTGTCTGCCGATCAGTTCAGCTGAATCAACTCTGCTGGTCCGCGAGATGATGGGTATCACAGACACATTGCCCAACCATCCTGACAGACACGAAAACCATTCCCAAGGACTTCAATGACATATCCCCCGACACAGAGACAAGATTAGGTACTGGGGTCAGTAAGCAACTTTGTTTGACTGGACATGTGGTTAAAAAAAAAGATAAATGGTTGAGAGAAAAGGAACAAAATCTGTGGAAGTCTAAAGTGGGTAAAAGAAGGATTTGCTTAAGTCATAACTTTGTGGTAGCAGTAATAACACTGCTTGAGATAGGAATACCACAGTGATTTTAGAGGTTGATAAATGTAGAAGACGAATTTAGCACATGTGAGTCTGTACTGCAGGAAATTCTCTCTGGAGCGAAAGTAGTGATTCTCATTGATTTCTCTTCCTGTGATCATTTATTAATAGGAAATAATTCCATATCTCTTTCTGGCACATTGAATTATAAGATAAAGCTCTGTCCTTTTAAAATTTTTTTTTCCTGTTATTTACTTGCTCTTTTTTTAGTGTACTGTTTTGATGATGTGATATGTGTTCACGTTTTAAAATTCAGAGGGTACAAAAGGATATATTTTGAAAACAGATCACACATATATATCTGTTGAAATACATTTGGGGAAAAAAGGTGGCTTTTTAAATTACTTTCTTTCTCATACCTGAATTTCTTAACTCATGTTGACTCTGTGAAGTGTGTATAGTCTGTAATTGAAAAAAAAATCTAAGTAAAGAGAAAGCTACCCAGAATCTTCAATTGGTGCTAAATATCTAAATAAATAAGAAAGAAAAATAAAGATTCCACATAACTTTGGGGGGCTCTTTCTGACTACAAAGTGATATTCCAGAAAAACAACAAAAACATGACCAGCCATTCCTCAGCTGCCTGTCTTTATATGAGAAATGACTGCAGAGTGGAAGAATCCAGCTCACTAGACTGTTTTCTAACCTTCTGGAGTTTCTCAAGTTTAAGAAAGGAAGTAAGCTGCCTGTTGAGCTCTTGTCCACCGGGAATTAGCTCAGAGAGCGGTGCTCAGCCGGTGGTATGGGTTAGCAGCCCGGCGGAGGAGAACCTCCATGCTTACTGTTTTCCCTCAGGTTTTGACCTCCCTGTTTGTTTAAAAATGAGTTAAAAACAGGAAACAGAAACTGCTCCAGTCCTGACAGTCAGCAAGGGTATAACCACAGATTTTTGGTACCATTCCTGCTGAGGCAGAGTTACAGAACAGAAAAAAGGAGGAGGGTAAAGGAAAAAGAAGAGAAAGGGGGAAAAGTACAGGAGGAGGGGACTCCAGCTGCCTTCTTAGGTACCTCTGATTTTGTGTCTCTACACAGATGCACCTACTACTGTCAGGAGTAATTTGTAATTTATGTTTATGCAGGCAGATTTTTGAGGTTGCTGGCAAAGACTGTTGGAAACCAAGTGGGAGACCGGGCAGGGCCGGTTGCGTCCGTCCGTGTGTGTGTGTGTGTGTGAAATGTGTGTGATGGGAAAGGGTGTGCCCATGCTCCTATTTCCTCATCCCAATGTTTCTTGATTTCAGAGCAGGTTTTAAAATTGTAGGTTGAGGGGGAGGGTACAGCTCAGTGGTGGAGTGCCTGCTTAGCATGCACGACATCCTGGGTTCAATCCCCAGTACCTCCATTAAGAAATAAAGAAAGAAAGAAACCTAATTCCCCTCCTACATACAAAGAAATAAATTAAAGTTGCAAGTTGTATCATAGAAGGTAAAGAACAGTTTTCCCTGGAAGGTTGAAAAATTTTACAATTTCAGTGGCATTGGGTCATAATATGGCTGTTACCGTCTAGTTTAGCCAGCTTCTGAAAAGACATTCTCTTTCCACATAAGTACTGTTAATTAATCTTTAACTAATTTGTCTAGGTACTTGATTTAGTGTTTTATTAAAACATTCTCTTGAGCCATGACCCTGAGCCTGTCAAACCTGTTTGAAACTCACTTCTTTGCCAGACTTTTTATTCTATCTGTTGTTTTTTAGTTCATTTCCTTTGTTAATCACTGTTAATAGCTTCTGAGGTTTTTCTTGTCCATCGTTCTAGAGAAACATCTGCCTGTTAGCTTGATCAAGTATGGCAGATATATTTCTTGTTTGAACTCTACTGACTGAAAATTGATTTCCTATTTGAGATCAACAAACCTGCTAGCTGCTATTTGCTCAGCAAATCTGTTTTTCAGTATTATTCTATGAGATGTAATATACCCTTTATAATAGCAGGCAATAATTTAATGTCATGTTCTGTGCCACAGCTGTAGCTGAAAACAGTTAAATTGGAATTAAATGGGCACGTGTTTGCATGTTTGCATAAGAATAAATATACATTTGCAAAAAGAATATGTTTGCACAATCAGAGGACTGATTCTTTAGCCTCTTACCAGTAAAAGTCTTTTTTAAAAATTATTATTTAATTCATTCTACTTCAGAAAAATAAAAGCTGTTTTCTGACACTACATTACCCTAAACATTATAGAAACTGGTGGCGTTAGGAGGCTTAACGAGCACTCGACAGAGGAGGTGGTGAAAGAGTAGCAAATGATTTTAACTGAATTTTGTTGTTGTTCTGCGGCTTTCAGATTCAGTGTGTATTTTCACTAGTACTTGATTTCTGGATCCAAATTATTGAGTTATTTGGATCATTTCTACGCTTCCTTGTTAGCATATGAGTTGGGAACTTACTAGTGGGCAGCAGATGGAAATGAATGAGGCCTCTGCAAAAATGGTTGTGTATGAGATCAGTGAAAACTGCCTTTGCCTCCCAAGTGAAAGGTGAGATAAGTCAAAGTTCTCTTATCTCATGCAGGCATTATACATGCATAGGACTAATTGGAAGGCAGTTGAGGACCAGGAAGAACTAGAAGAATAAAGTCAATTTTCTGTTAATGTGCTTACTAGCCACGTATCGCTTTTCCTCTGAGGCGCCCCACATAATTGATAAGGACTTGCCCTATTAATTTTCAGTATCCTCTGTGAGACAGAGAACAAGAAAGTAGGTTGTTTTCTTGACTTCCTCTCCTTTTTCATCTTGTCCTCCATTCCAACTCAGCTCTGTGTTCCCCTGGCCATACCCTACACCTGGTTATCACCGCTAACCACCCCCTTTCCATCATCTCAATCTTAGGCATCCGTGTCTTGAACTACACCTCCTATCTTCCTAGCTCGCTCCTGGTGCCCCAGCCCCAGCAACCCTCCATCCTGGCTGGCACCTACAGGTCATTAATTCCACTGCCTTTTCACTACTCATGGCCGTGCTTGTCTCAGAAAGAAGTACCTGTGCTCACTCTTTCCAACTCCTTTCCTTGGCCAGGGCCTTGCTTTCCATAATGCCAAGGGCAGCAGTCACATTGTGAGTCCAGGAGGTGCCACTCACTTAAAATATAATATAAATGGTGTCCCCTCGAGTTGGCACCCATCTCTTAAAGCAGCTTCAGTCAGACATTTGCCCTCACTGCTCCACCAGAACTGTTTTATTTTGGGGATTTCCAGTACCTTCCATGTGACCTTCCATGTCTCCTCAGTGCTCGTCTTTCTTGACTTATCAGGAGCACCTGCCAGTTGATTACTCCCTTCTCTGAAATCCTGTTATTACCTCTTGGTTTCTAGGACACCACACTCTCCTGGTTTCTCTCTTCGTCTAGTTCCTGGCCTCTGAACATTGGCATGCTCAGGACCTAGTCCTCAGGCCTTGTCTCTTCTCAGTCTACACTCCCCTGGTGATCTGCTCCAGTGTCACTGCTTCAAAAATCAAGCAGCTGGTGACTCCCAAATCTGGCACCTAGTTCTTCCCTAACCTCCAGACCTGTATGTTTACCTGTGTGCTTGGCAGAGCCTCTTACATGTCAATAGGCTTATCAAAATCAGTATCTCTAGAACCAAATGCTGATTCTTTTGTCCCAAACCTAATTCTTCTGAAGTCTGTTTCTTTAGTGGGAACTCTACCTTCCAATAGTTGCTCAGGATAAAAACTTTAGAGTCATCTCTAATTCCTCTCTCTCCCTCACATAGCACCATATCTAATCTGTTTGCGAGTCTTCCTGATTCTACTAGAAAGTGTATCCAGTATCTTTTTCTCCATTTCCATTGTTACTATCCTGCTCCACGCCACATCATCTCCTACCTGTCTCCTTGCCTCTGCTGTTGTCCACGGCCACCACACACACTCACCCTGCCCTTTCTCATCACAGCAGCCAAAATGAACCTTTAAAAGTAGGTCACATGGTGCCACCTCTCTGTGCATTAGCTTCCAAAGGCTTCCTAAGTCACTCAGTGTAAAAACTGAAGTCTCAGTAGTAGACTAAGACCGTACATGATTGAGCCAGTGTGCCCTCCCTCTCTGACCTCATCTCTTCCCAGCCTTCCTCACTCTGCTCCAGTCCTGCCGGCCCCCTCACTGTTCCTCTGGGCATGCTCCTTCTGCCTCAGGACTTCTGCATTTCCCTTGGTCTGGAATTATCTTTTCCCTGATAGCCACGTGACTCACTCTTTTCCTCCTACAGCTTCATGTCTTTGCTGTGATGCTCTCTGTTTTCAGTGAGTTCCTCTCTGATTTTGCCACATAAAACTGAAGTTTCCCCCTTCCCCTGAGTGTTCTCTGTGCCCCTTTTCTGCTTTACTTACCTATAACATTTAATGAACACCTGATATGCTGTATGTATCTATGTGCTTGTTGATTTACTGTGTCTGTTTTCCCATGGGAATGTAAGCTCCATGAAGGCAGGGAAGGCTATTCTTTATTTTTTGTCATAGTGCCAGAATGGCACCTAGCTCCTAATAGGTATTTCATAAATGTTTGTTGAAGTAAATGAGTGTAGAGTTACTACTGTATTCATTTTTTATAAGGTGATATTAGACTAATTTGTTCGATCCCAAGGGATTCACGATTTTCGAGGCAAATTTATGGCTTGATCCAAACAACGAATGATTGTCTAATAAAGTGATTTGCTTGCAGAGTGCTTTTAGAAAGTTATAGTTTAGGGATCCATGGTCTCGGTTTGTGAGTTTGTGTTATGTAAGTGGGCAGTCTCTCTTTGATGGGTTTGCACACTTGTCTACCCCTTTCACCTCTCTGTAGATATGAACGCTACCATACGAAGGATTGACCAGTTAACCAACATTTTGGCCCCCATGGCTGTCGGCCAGATTATGACGTATGGCTCTGCTGTCATTGGCTGTGGTTTCATTTCCGGATGGAATTTGGTGTCCATGTGTGTGGAGTACTTTCTGCTCTGGAAGGTTTACCAGAAAACCCCTGCTCTAGCTGTGAAAGCTGCTCTTAAAGTAGAGGAAACTGAGTTGAAACAGCTGAATTCATACAAAGGTAAACTCAACAAAATGATCAATCCTCTTATTCTGCTTCTTAGACCTTAAATGTTGGTCAAGACCAAAATAATACGGAATTTATATCAGGTTTTATTACCATGAAGGCCTGCATGAGGTTAAATATGTCAACTTGGTAAATGAGTCAACAACCATGCTTTTGAGGGTCTAAGGAACAAATCTGGGCTGAACTGCAAGGGGTTGTAATGGGACCCCTGGCCCTTTTCCTTAAGGTGAGCAGTAAGCACAGAGGGGTGATTAATTGATGGATGACCTGGCAAAGCTGAGCCATAGGAGTGGGAGGAACAGTGGGGAAAAAGAGAATTAGAGAATTCCTAGGAGTCTCCAAAGAAGAGGGTTACATGCCATTTGTAGGACAATGGGAGGGAGTGAGGACATGAAGGTGGGCATTTCTCAAGAAGGGAGAAGGAAATTGGGCTTCTAGGCAAATGGAATCTTAACAGGACCCCAGAAAATAAGAGGCTGTGTTTTGCCAGACAATTATTATATTTCATCTGATGAGTTGTCTTGCTATTTACTTTGCTGGAAATATAATTTCAGGGTGAGGGGCAGGGAGGAGAAGGAGGCATCAATAGTTTCTTGTTTATTTAACATAAATGCTGCTTGGAGATTGTTCCTTGGCTGGAATTTTTAGATTAATAAAAGAAAATACATATTATATGGTAGTAGCCGGGGTATCCATGAGGGAGGGAAAGGGGAGAAGAGAAAACACTGAGTAAGATAATTGGCTTTTCTCCCCATGTCCTCTCCCTCAAATAAGGATGTCTTTTTTTTTTTTTTAATGATATCTTTTATTAACAGAAACTGAGCCAAAACCCCTGGAGGGAACTCATCTAATGGGTGAGAAAGAGCCTGAAATCCACGAGCTTGAACCTGAGCAAGAGCCAAGCTGTGCCTCCCAAATGGCTGAGCCCTTCCGCACCTTCCGAGATGGATGGGTCTCCTATTACAATCAGCCAGTGTTTCTGGCGGGCATGGGTCTTGCTTTCCTCTATATGACTGTCCTGGGCTTTGATTGCATCACTACAGGGTACGCCTACACTCAGGGGCTGAGCGGCTCCGTCCTCAGTATTTTGATGGGAGCATCAGCCATAACTGGAATTATGGGAACTGTGGCTTTTACGTGGCTGCGTCGAAAATGTGGCCTGGTCCGGACTGGCCTAATCTCAGGATTTGCACAGCTTTCCTGTTTGATCTTGTGTGTAATCTCCGTGTTCATGCCCGGAAGCCCCTTGGACCTGTCTGTTTCTCCTTTTGAAGATATCCGTTCTAGGTTCATTCAAACAGAGCCACTTTCAATTACACCTACAGAATTACCTGCAATCATCTCTACAGCTGAAATACACAAGTCAAACGAGTCTGATCCTGCTAGTATTATCCCAGAGATGAGTCCTAAATCTGTGCCCGTAACCTCTGTCAGTCTGCTGTTCGCAGGCGTCATTGCTGCTAGAATCGGTAAGAAATCAGTTTTGTATGTTAATAAAGTGTCTGCAATGCGGGTTCAGAGAATAAAGCATTAAGTGGTCTGAAATATTTGCTGAATGTTAATATAAGCAAAATACACTATTTATTCTTATGTATTAGAATCATTTATTATGAAATTTTTATTTTATAGTTTAAAAAAACTATATTTGTGTGTGTATATGTGCATATAGTTTCTTAAAACATGGTTCGGGCTTGAAAATTTTTACTAAGTGGATATCTTAGTCTTTTAATTTAGTTAATTTTTAAAAAGATGTTATCTATAATAGTTATGCTTTTAGTAATTCAGAGCCTTTATATTTCTATAACTCTACCAAAAGGACTGTAATTGAGAGAGTATTTCTGTGGGACAAGGTAAAAAAAGTGTGTTGGGTTTAAATTGTAAAGAAAAGAAAAGACATAGCAGTTAGGGAAAAAATCCTTCAAGAGTATTCTCTACATGATGTGTATTTATTGTATCCTTTGCCAAACAAATGGGTTTTATAGCTCTAGAAGGAAACATAAAGACATCTGACAAAGCAAAATTTAAGTAATCATTAATAGAGTACTGATGAATTATCTCCGCCTGGATTCATTTTTGAAATGAAACCGTGTTTATCTTGTGATACAAAGCAGTTCATTAATTGATCAAAGACATTAATATTTAAGCAAGTCAACTTTATTGTAGGTGCTTTAGAAGTATTAAATGTACTAATGGTTTAAAATTTCCTTACACTTTAACCGTAACAATGTGTTAGGTCTGTTCATTTTAAGCTTTAAAAATACTAGTACTTACAATAAGAGTCATTGTCTCTGATTTCAGAATTTTGCTTTCATAGTATGCATAATCACTGAAAAATAGAATTAAGAGGTTTGTGGTTTAGATTTATTTTTGTCTTGTGGCTGTAAAAATAATTTCTTGAAGCCACTAATAACCTAGTATTCATTAATGAAAAAGAATTCTCTAAGGCTAGGCTGTGATAAATATACACGTGGTAACTTTAAGGTAATAGGGCTAAATATGTAGTTTGCACACGTCAACAAATTTTTAATCTATAAATCCAAAGTGTACAGCTATAAATTAAAATTAAGTCTCTAAAAATATCTTTTATTACAGGTCTTTGGTCCTTTGATTTAACTGTGACACAGTTGCTGCAAGAAAATGTAGTTGAATCTGAAAGAGGCATTATAAACGGTGTACAGAACTCCATGAACTATCTTCTTGATCTTCTGCATTTCATCATGGTCATCCTGGCTCCAAATCCTGAAGCTTTTGGCTTGCTCGTATTGATTTCAGTCTCCTTTGTGGCAATGGGCCACATCATGTATTTCCGATTTGCCCAGAAAACTCTGGGCACCCAGCTTTTTGTCTGTGGTCCTGATGAAAAAGAAGTTACCGATGAAAATCAAACTAACACATCTGTTGTGTAAGACAGTTTAACTGTTGCTCTCACTGTTACTAGATTATGAGGGGCCTGTGTGTTTATTTTGTACTTTAGAATCCCAATAAATGGCTGGGTGTCTCTCTTTGGTTTTACCACAGCTATACCTTGAAGGCTAAAAGCTGTTTAGAATATCTTAAGCCAGCAGAAATGAGCTAGTTATTTTCCCTTATATTCAAAGATGGAAAAAAAATAGGAAAAGAAAAACTCGGTTTAAATACGGAGACTAAAATGGTGACACTGATTTTTCTCTATTTCTCACGAGTAGATAAAATTTACATAAGTGAGTGGTTAGTCATGTGAAGTAAGTTACTCTTTGGCAGATACTTGTTATCTGTACTAGATCCAAACATGTCAGTTTCCCCTAAAACTCACTCTTGTTCACTAATTTACTTTTTAAAAATCTCATTCTCAGTGGTATTATAAAAACAAATCCCCTTCCAAGTGTGAAGATTAAAGGTTGATAACCAGTATTCTCTTCATTGATCCTCTCAATCTTAAGGGATTTACATACATATGTAAAAAGGAAATACTTAGCTGAAATTCTCTAACAGGGCTTATGGTTTAGCTTTAGAGAGCACCTTTGTAGTTTTATTATCAGATAGGGCAAAATATTGTATTAAGTATATGTAGCACTTCATAAAATGGCTGTCATGTAAGCTGCAAAGCTGTGAAGTAGATTTATAACACGCCAGTGGGTTGGCCATAGAAACTAGAGGTTAACAGTCACACGGAAGGGCCAGAACCAAATTTAACTCACACCTCTCTCCTTAATGATCTCTGTCTGGGAATGTGAGGGAGTTAAAGGCAGAAAGCAAACCCAAACTTGGAAAAGGTTTTGTTTTATAAATCACTTGATTTACTTACAACATGCTCTGGCAGAGCATTTTTCCTTTTACTGTTTTGTACCCAGGAGTTATTTTTACCTAGTTGTAGAGGAAGACTGCTCATGAATGTATCCCTTTTAAATGCCTTTGATAACGACGGAGGAAAAAAACCCCTTTTGTATATATTTTTAAAAACTGTTTTGCAAAACATTTTGCAGCATGCCAGTACCAACGGGGTCCTTTGCCTTAATCATTCATGCACTTTCGTGGAGACTGCAATACATTGCTACGAGCACTTTCTTGATCCTTGAGGTTTAATCTTTTTCTTCTTTCTGTAGTATGACATAATGATTTACTATGTTGTAAAATCTTTCTAAAATATTTCTATATAAAAACATTAAAAAAAACAAACCCTTGATTTCTTCTTCCTGATTGTGTCCCTCAATTATTTTAATACTGTTTTTGTTACAGAACCTGTTTTGGATAATGAATTTTTTTTTTCTCTCTGAAGGTGTACAGTTTCATAATAACTCACAATTTTTAGTTTTATCTCCCAGCTCTTATGTTTAGCTTGTGGTGGCTTGGAGAAAAGTGTAGTAAACATGAGGCCCAGGACTCATTGTTTGACCTTGAAGAAGTCATATGAAGCTCTTTTGAGTTCTATTGTCTATTCTGTAAATTGGAGATGATATTGTAAAGCCAGCCCTACCCACCTCACAGCTTTTCTGGCTGAGTCAAGTCAAGACAGCTTTTGCAGAGGCACTTGGTGGACTGTATGACAAGGCGTTAGTATTGCTAGAAGTTGGACCTAGCTAATGGCAGAGAGTTAAAGTTAGTCCTGGTGATAGTCCAGAGAGGGTCGAGCCACGTTCTGTAATCAGCAGGCATTTGCTGGACACGTGATCTGTGTCCCACATGGGCTGGTCTTGGGGGGTGCAGATTTGACTCACACAGGTTGATCAGAGGTTCCTTTTCTTTCCCCCCAAATCAGGAGGCTGAGAACCCCTGGTGTCATCCCGTGGCTACTGATCTGCTCTTGCCTTTTGAGCAGACAGTAGGCGCCCCTGTTAGTGTTGGCTGCTGTCTCGAACGGGTCGTCGGCTTCCTCCCACAGGGGTCGAACTCAGGTTGAGATCTGCCCTGAGCGTCTGCAGCTGTAATGGGAGGCCTGGGACCTTGTACAAATGAATGGAACTGTCCTGGCAAAGGAAGGTCTCGGCTCTCAACATGGGCATCTTGCCAGATGGTGGGCCTAGTGGGAGAGGCCCTGTGTGGGAAAAAGGAAAATGGAGTTGGTTCATAGGAAGTTTTACAGGTGCCTCCATTATCTTCGCAGAGCAGGAAGCAGAGGGAAGTGGAGGTGAACGGCTGCTGGGCTGGTGGGACCGCTTCAGGGCATAGAAGTAGGGCGGGGTCGCTGACGTGTGTCTAGCTGTGTTTCTAAATAGGGGGACAACCTCAACTACCTACAGGGTCAGTTAGATAATACAAATGAGTAGAGTGAATTAGCGACAGTCTTTCATTTAACATGTAATTGCATTTCACAAAAGTATCACTATTCTCACTTAAAAACAAATGATTGCTTTTTTTCATGTTCCCTATTCCATGCGGGCTTCTTGCTGTTATTAAGTTGGTTCTTTCCACAGAGGCCTTCCACATCCTTCGTCTGCATATTAGACACAGGAAAACTATATTCATTTCCAAAAAGAAACATGCCTACTACCATCTTCCTTTCTTGAAACATCTGGTTTGCATGACAGTCCTTTCATTGCCCCCACCCCCACCCCACATTTTTAAAAGAAGAGAGCAACGAAAGGGTATGAGTAAGAGAGAACTTCCCTGTTGACTATAAGACAAAAAAAGATGCAGGAGGTGAGCTCAGTCCCTGGACGCGCTGCTGGGGAGGTGACGGGGCGGGACTGGAGCGCACACCCCACACACCCCGATGAAGGAACAGCTGTCAGCAACACGGGTTGCGGGCCCTCTCTCATCCTGTCTTTTTTTCTTTCAAGAGAAGCTGGGCGTCTGGATCTGTGTGTGCTGTCTCCAAATCTTTAAATACCGGCAACTAATTTGAAAATGCTAAAAATGTTTTTCTAGCCAAACAAAATACATCTGTGGGCTACCTAAGAGCCTCCCCTGGGCCACCATTTTTTAAAGTTTGTGTCTAAGAGGATGGTTTGTGAACAAGAGAGTGGTATTTGAAAAAAAAGTGGAGGAAAGAGGAAGTCTACATCCAAAAATTGTGGAGTACAGGGAACAGGAAACAACTTGGCAGACACATATTTACAGTAAAAAACACTAAGCTAGTAGGCATCCTTTATTGGAGATGATATAAGATCGAATAATCTATGCATTAATAACTTGCCATGTTGATGTCTGAGAATTCTGCCCCATAGTTCCTTATTCAGTATGTTGTTTATACAGTTGATGACTTAATGAAAAAACTTTTAAAGTTTGGAACTATAAACACAATGTGCTCCTACCTTAAAAAAGAAAAAGCACAGATTTTAAATTATTCAGGTCCCCTCCTCCTATCCCACTCTCCGAATCCTTGGTACCCACTGTGAACAGTTCAGGATATCCTTCCAGATAATTTCTTTTTAATAAAATTTAAAATATAATTTGTTATATCATCATTTGGTTTATTCACCATGATTATATCATCTATCTACATCTGTTAATTGATGTTAATCAATGTATTATTCCCCCCAAATTCTGAGGGTTGCATTAAAGTCAGGTTTGCATAAGGCTGCTGATGCAGTAATTAAACACTTTAAAAACAGAGAACTAGGTATACAAATTACCTAGTCTAATTTTATTGTGATTGAGAAGTAAATTTAGTCTGATACTCATTTCAGCCGAGACAAAAGATCACTGAGTTTTACCTTTTTCTCCCTAAGTGACACTTAACTTGAAACTATTTTTACTTCAGTTAAACATTGCTTCTCCTTTTATAATGTCTCCTTTTTCCCTCTTGATCCACCATTCAGAGTAATCCTTCCTATCAGACCATATTTGTTTTACAAGGTAGCAATTCAAGAATAGAGTTGAAATGTTAGGAGAACCTTGCTGACAACGCATTCACTTTTATTACCAACAAGTCGGAACCGGCTATATTGAGTCACTCTTTGAAAGTTAAAGGACTTTTTTCCTTATATGGATACTTGTTTACATTTTCCAGGTCCAAAAGGGAGCAAGTATTTTATCTGAAGAATGGACAAATGAGAGATCAAAGTTCAAGTAAGTACTTTTTTCCCACATTCTTCACCCTGAGCTCTATGTAAGTTAGTATGTATTTTTCCATTTGAAAATTTTCCTTACTGCGTTTTACTGGGATGAAAGTGCAAAGTTTCTGAAGTAGTTATTTTCAAAACTATCTTAGAGAATAGTTGTCCTTAACTCATGTAGGCAGTTATAGTGATGATAACATGAAAATAATCTAATTAAACAGATCGAATATGAGAGAGGATAAGTATGTTTTATAGTAACTAAAATGCTTCAGGAGAAATATATGTTTAGAAGAACTAATTTTCAAAGACCTTACAATAAATGATCCCTAATAGTCAGGATATAGTCACGTAGTAAATCAAACCTTAAGGAATATTTGAGTTTATATATATATTCTGGAAAGCATCGCTGCCCAATGATAGATTTACTTTTTATTTAGTACTATGTATTGATCAAATATATATGTTTCTTCTTTATTAATTCTAGGGTATTTTAGCAAAAGACACTATGGTGGAAAGGAAATAATATTTAAACATCTGTTATTTGTCAGCATGTTATTCATTGAATCCTTACCATTAACTCAGTGAAGAAGGTATTACCTGTGTTTTATAGATGATGAAACTGAGTCTTAGGATACGTGCCATGCACTTCCATAGCTAGTAAGCGGCAGAACAGAATCCGAGACCATTTCTGTCTGTCTCCAAAGGCTGTCTTCCTCCCTCCACAGCACACAGCCCTAGCACAAACTTTTTTTTCCTTTTAGTGGAAAAGGTCAGAAAATCCTTAATATTCTTAAGGGGGTCTATTTATGGCAAACATTTTAACCTACATGGTGAAGTGGGTATAACTCTATCAACTGACTATTGAAGATGAGAATTTCTTGTTATGCTTCCAGATAGCTGAAGTTTTCCAATATTCATAGCTGTCACATCCATTTTAAGGGTCTTGGTTGGTCCACGTGTAGCACTTAACAATATTTTGGGGCTTTCCTAATACCTATATGAAGTGGAATAGGGAAATGGTTGGAAGGGTAGAGAGACCTGGGTTCAAATTTTGACCTTGCTGATTACTATCTTCTGTGCTCTCAGACAAGTTTTTTTTTTAACTTCGCTGAACTTCTGTTCTTCATATGTACAATGGGAAAATGAATTTCATAGGGGATTAGCACTTTAAACCCAGTACCTGATAAATAGCCCCCAACAAAGTGTTTCTTATATTCATATGAGGAATAATTAAGGATATTCTCTGTTCCAACACAATTTATTGTTACATGAATTACTCTTATGCAAATATGTCATGTTGGATGAACTATTTAGTTAAATATACCAATTAATTTTACATGTTCATTTTTTTTTCAAATGTGATATTCTCTTTGATAGTAGAAGTCTGCAAAGAAACCTGTTTAGAAGAGATGCTGAATTAAGTTTAGTTTCAGTTCTTTGAAAAACAGCTGAGATTTCTACTGTGGACATTGTAAAGAACCTCTGTGAAAAGAAAAAGGAAAATTCTTGTCACAGGTTTTTATTTTTATTTTTATTAAAGTATAGTTGATTTACAATATTATAGTTTCAGGTGTACAACATAGTGATTTAATATTTTTATAGATTATGCTCCATTTAAAGTTGTTATATAAAGTATTGGCTATATTCTCTGTGATGCACAATACATCCTTATATCTTATTTATTTTATTCATAATAGTTTGTACCTCATAATTCTCTACCCCCATCTTCCCCTCCCCTCATCCCTGTCCCTATTGGTGACCACTAGTTCCTTCTCTATGAGTCTATTTCTGTTTTGTTATATTCTTTCATTTATTTTATATTGTAGATTCCATATATAAGTGAAAACATACAGTATATGCCTTTCTCTGTATGACTTATTTCACTAAGCATAATACCCTCCAGGTCTATCCACCATGTTGTTGCAAATGGTAAAATTTCATCCTTTTTATGGCAGAATAATATTCCATTGTATATATGTACCACATCTTCTTTATGCATTCATCTGTTCATGGACACTTAGGTTGCTTCCATATCGTGGCTATTATAAATAATGCTGCTGTGAATATTGGGGTGCATATATCTCTTCTGTTAATGTTTTCTTTTTCTTCAGATATATACCCAGGAGCATAAACAGCTCATATACCTCAATACCAAAAAAACTAAAC